CCAATGCTGACCCTTCATGCCTTAATTTCTATCCACTGGTGATGGTTGTGTCAAGTTGTATAACATTTGAGGAGGACAATTTGACAATAAGTATGAAGAAGGCTGAAAATGTAAACAACCTTTAAAGCAATAGATAATTTCCCCTCTAGGAAATATATGTATTTGATGTATATAAATTGGAAATAACCCAGGTGTCCAATAATAGAAAAATAGTTAAATAATACATCTATGCAATGGCTACTGTTTCACCACCAAAAATCATATTATTAAAGGATATTTAGTCACATGGAAAAATGCTCATGGTATGTTTTCTTTTTAAATATATTTTTATTGATTTCAGAGAGGAAGGGAGAGGTTCATTGGAATTGTAGGTGATGCTCAAGTGATTTTCCATTTGAAACCAGCAAGTATAACCACAATTTGTCAACACCTGTTGTGGGTAAATTTATAAATTTTCTTTTATTAATTTTTAAAATTTGTATTTATTGATTTTTATTTTATTCTATTTTAAGAATATTTTTATTGCTTCCAGAAAAGGGAGAGGGAAACATCATGATGAGAGAGAGCCATTGACTGGCTACATCCTGCACACCCCCTATTAGGGATCCAGCCAACCATGTGCCCTGACCTGGAATTGAAACCGTGACCTCCTGGTTCACAGGTTAATGCCACCAAGCCATACCAGCTGAGCTACTTATTGATTTTGAGAGAGAGAGAGAAACATAGATTTGTTGTTCCATTTATTTATGCATCCATGTGCCCTGACTGGGGATCAATCTTAACATATTGGGATGATGCTCTAAACAACTGAGCTATCCTGCCAGGATTTATAAACTTCCTTAATCTAGACATTAGATTTTTAGGATTTACTGCAGAGTAAACAAGTTAAAGAGAGAATATAAAATTTAAATAAAGTTGGAAAAGACAATCTGGCAAATATTTTCAATATAAACATAAATATCCTTAATTCATTTCCTAAGTAATCAGTGAGACTTCTACAATGATTTTTTTCCTTAGTTATTCTGGGCACTTTACTTCGTTGCTTTGTTTTTCTCTACTAAGTGACAAATTATTTACAGTGTTTTGACAAAAATGCATAGACCAGTGGTTGACAAACTGCTGCTCACGAGCCACATGCGAGTTTGCTGACCACTGGCATAGACCTAAAATATATATTTTTTAAAAATTAATTTCAGAGAGAAAAGGAGAGGGAGAGATAGAAACATCAATGATGAGAGGGAATCACTGATAGGCTGCCTCCTGCTCGCCCCCTACTGGGGATCAAGCTTGCAACCCAGGCATGTGTCCTTGACTGGAACTGAACTTGGGACCCTTCAATCCACAGACCAACACTCTATCCACTGAGCCAAACCAGGTAGGTGTAACGTGACCAGACGTCCAGCTTTCAGAGAAGAATCTTTCCAACAATAGGGACTTTTTTAAAACGCCCCGGGACATGGGACAAATTGTTAAAAATCGGGATTGTCCCGCCCAAAGCAGGATGTCTGGTCACCTTAAGCTAGGGCAACACATAAACTCTGAAAGCTAGATAAAGTTTAAATGCATCTCTAAAGAGCTATTTGCATTCTTTTTGTTGTTGTTGTTTTGTAATTCTAAAGAATTCAAAGAGAAGATCTACAATGGCATAGTTTCTAATGGAATGTCCACACTGACTTCCTCCTGTGAGCCTTGTTCTTCAAGCACCCAAAACTGTTCAAAATTCCCGAACTTGCTTACTGGGGATTGAAAATAAAGTTGGGAGTTGGGTTGGTCTAGGAATTTGATACTTAAAATGTTTTCTCTACACCCCATTCTCACCCCAACATGATCAGCACACGCACGCGCACACACACACACACACGTTACTATTCTAAATCATCCATACACTGATGGCTCCAAACATTTATGTGCTGAGCACTGTTGCCTTAAAAACACAAAATAAATAAATAAATAAATAAATAAATAAATAAGTAAATAAATGGCCCAGGTAGTGTGGCTCAATGGTTGAGCATTGACCTATGAGCCAGAAAGAAGATCACAGTTTGATTCCCAGGTTGCGGGCTCGATCCCCAATGTGGGGCATACAGGAGGCACCCGATCAATGATTCTCTCTCATCACTGATGTTTCTATTTCTCTGTGCCTCCCTTTCCCTTCCTCTCTGAAACCAATAAAAAAGAAATACAAAAATGAATAAGATATGCTTCCTGCCCTAAGCCTTGTCTGAAAGGTAGCCCACTCCTCAAATATGTTTTATTGTTTCCCTCCATAAGTAGCTTGGAATCCACACTCTTTCACCTGGGACTTTTTCTGACTCCGACCAATCTTCCCAACCTGAAATCTCACTGTGCCTCCTGCCATTTAACTCAGGAGCCTTGGCTCTATCCATAGGGCTTATTTGTTATTTCCCAAATGCCCTGCTGCTCCTTCTAAAATGGCCTTTCTTTGACCACACACACACACACCATACGTCACAAGCCCAACTCAAATCCTACCTCTCTCCCAAGGTCACTCCATATCTCCCAGTAAGAATTACCCTCTCGGCTGAAACCGGTTTGGCTCAGTGGATAGAGCGTCGGTCTGCAGACAGAGGGGTCCTGAGTTCGATTCCGGTCAAGGGCATGTGCATTGGTTGCGGGCACATCCCCGGTGGGGGATGTGCAGGAGGCAGCTGATCGATGTTTCTTTCTCATCGATGTTTCTGACTCTCTATCCCTCTCTCTTCCTCTCTGTAAAAAATCAATAAAATATATTAAAAAAAAAAAAAAAAAAAAAAAAGAATTACCCTCTCTGTTTCTTCTCCTTTGCATTAGCTTTGGGTCCCCAGGAAAGCCCTTCTTACCATCTGCTTTAACCCCATGCTGGCACATAGTAGGCAATTGATGTTTGGTGAACTCAAATTTTATTCATTATAGACATAAAGGTTAAATTAAGAATAAAAGTTGGATAGAATGCCATCTAAAAATGTAGAAGAAATAAGAGTTAGAAAAATCCCCATTTTACAATCATCATGGTATTACTTGATTCAGGTAAGAATCAATGGAAACTAAAATGATTGGATGAAATGGGAAACAGAATGTTTACATAGTCTCAAAATGTTTCCCTACAGTTGAGGTATTAATTATAATGGGAAAGTGGTAACTTACCAATGAAAAAACTTGGCAGACACTATGCAAATGAACAAAATTAGCATCATAATAAATGGGACAAACTGACATTGTATCCTCCTTTCTGATGCGACGAACTGAGAAAGAATCAACATTATCATGTAGTCCTGCCAAAAATGCATAACCTAAGTCCAATTCAAATTGAGGAAGTTTCTACAAACAACTAGCCTACATTCTTCAAAAATGTAAATGCCATGAAAGACAAAGAAAGGTTAAGTAATTGTTTCTTTTTCAAGAAACAAATAATCCTAGCTTGATCTAGATGAGGGTTGAGGGAGGGGAGGAGGGAGAGGGGAGAAAGAAGGGGAGGAAGAAAGATTGCTATTAATGAACATTAATCAGCAAAAGTTAAGTATGGACTGTACATTGGCAAAATATGAGTATGGACTGTAAATAAAATGTTCATACACTTTGAAATTCCACTTTTAGAAATGTATTCCTCAAAATTCCTTAAATGTGCACAAAGATAGACAGATGTGCCAGAATGTTTATGGTAACATTGTTTGTAATGAACATTATTGGGGTAATTAGCAAAGTCTGAGTATGGGCAATGCTACATTTCTGAATTGAATAATATAGCTATGGTTATATAAGAGAATATCCTTGTTCCTAAGATGTATACACTAAATAGTATTTATTGACAAAGGGTCACGATGTTTGCAACTAATCCTAGAATTAATCAAGGCCAAACAAAGTGTGTACTCGTGTGAGCGTGTGTGGAGAGAGAGACAGAGGCAGAGAAAAAAAGACATGGCAAAAGGCTAATGATGGGTGAATCTGGGTAAAAAGTGTACAGAGAAAATTGTTTATTGAGCTGGCCCAGGACAAGGAGACCAAAGATCCCCCCAACACGGAAAAGAGATGGCTCCTGATGCCCCTAGGGGTGTGTAATTTTCAGCCCACCCTCAACCCTCCACCTCAACACACACACACACACACACACACACACACACACACACACACCACACCACAAATCTGATATGAAAGGGAAGCAGATTTGCCCATTTCGGATCCAGCAATTCATCTAGACCTCTAGCCTATGGAAACTCACACACAAGGTTTGAATGTTTGCTTCTAGAGGAACTAAACACAAGCGCAGAACTACCAGAACAAATGAACTGTGAAAATGGGGCAAAAAACATTTCCAAATAAGTAATGTTTTTAAAATTCCAAGAAGATTAAGAGGGTTCCCTGAGGACATAACAGTGGATGAAAATGAAGTACACTTGAGGAGTTAATTATTTTCCCCCCCCGGATCTCTCCCATGTATATATGAAGTATACTTGTTAATAAACTGTGTTGTTAAGAAAGTATATGTAAGTTCTGTATTTATTATTACTACTTTTTGTGTAACTTTGAAACTATTTTGGAAAAAAAAAATAAAAGCAAAAGCTCGGAACCATTTGATTTACTTCAAAGACAAGACCCTAGCCGAAACCAGTTTGGCTCAGTGGTAGATCATCGGCCTCTGGACTCAAGGGTCCCAGGTTTGATTCCGATCAAGGGCATGTACCTTGGTTGCAGGCACATCCCCAGTGGGGTGTGTGTGTGTGTGTGTGTGTGTGTATGTGTGTGTGTGTGTGTGCAGGATGCAGCTGATCGGTGTTTCTCTCTCATCGATGTTTCTAACTTTCTATCCCTCTCCCTTCCTCTCTGTAAAAAAATCAATAAAATGTATTTTAAAAAAAAAGACAAGACCTTAGCCCTGGCTGTGTAGCTCAGTTGGTTAGAGTGTTGACCCAATTGCCAAGATTGAGGGTTCAGTCTCCCACAGGTTCAATCCCAGGTCAGGGTACCTACAAGAATCAACCAATGGCTCTTTTCCAGCTGGAACCATGGAAGGTGCAGAAGAGAAGAAGGTTCCTGCTGTGCCAGAAACCCTCAAGAAAAAGCGAAGGAATTTCGCAGAGCTGAAGATCAAGCGCCTGAGAAAGAAGTTTGCCCAAAAGATGCTTCGAAAGGCAAGAAGGAAACTCATCTATGAGAAAGCGAAGCACTATCACAAGAAGTACAGGCAGATGAACAGGACGGAGGTTCGATTGGCTAGGATGCCAAGAAAAGCCGGCAACTTCTACGTACCTACCGAACCCAAATTGGCATTTGTCATCAGGATCAGAGGTATCAATGGTGTGAGCCCAAAGGTCTGAAAGGTGCTGCAGCTTCTCCGCCTTCACCAGATCTTCAACGGCACCTTTGTTAAGCTCAACAAGGCCTCAATCAACATGCTGAGGATTGTGGAGCCTTACATTGCTTGGGGGTACCCAAATCTGAAGTCAGTGAATGAATTGATCTACAAGCGTGGTTATGGCAAAATCAACAAAAAACGAATTGCCCTGACAGATAACGCATCGATTGCTCGATCTCTTCTGCATGGAAGAGCTGATCCATGAGATCTACAATGCTGGAAAGCACTTCAAAGAAGTGAACAACTCCCGGTGGCCCTTCAAGTTATCCTCTCCTCAGGGTGGCATCAAGAAGAAGACCACCCATTACATAGAAGGAGGAGATGCTGGCAACAGAGAAGACCAGACCAACAGGCTTATTAGAAGGATGAACTAAGGTATCTACCATGGTTATTTTTGTAATCTGGTCAGTTAATAAACTGAGTTCTTCAAAATTGAAAAAAAAAGAAAAAGAAAAAGAATCAACCAATGAATGTAAAAATAAGTGGAACAACAAATCCATGTTTCTCTCTGTCTCTAAAAATCAACTTTAAAAAAAAAAGGTGAATATTTGTCTAAGACAGAACTAAGTTGAAGAGAACCCATCACAAACCCACAAAAGCAATTCCATCTCAACTAAAAGACGTCCCTTTCTCTAGCCTCGTGATGGCCCCTGATCCCCTGGGTATCACTACCATTACTGCATTTATCACATTTATTCTTATTATATTCCATGTTGCATTCATCTTTGTTTTCCCAGCGCAGTTTTCAACCATGCAGAATACTAAATGAAAATGTATGATTAAATAAAGAAACTACACACACATATCAAGGACCTCTATAGACTCTAGAGCTTTAAACTAAATGTCAGAACATATTTTAGCAATGTCTTTCAAAGATATTAGGAAAATGTTTAAGCATAAAATGATGTTGTTGTTTTGAGATTTGCGTCAAAATAACCCAGAGGGGGTGAGCATTGAGTGAAGGTATAAATACAATCACGTTGCCATGATTTAAATAGTGGCTGAAGCTGGATCATGAGTACCTAGGGTTCATTCTGACTATTTTTGCATCTTTTTTAAATGACCTATAATTTAAAAATAAATAAATAAATGTTTTGAGGAAAGGACAATAGAAGAAGAAGTAATAACAAGCACAACTTGAACAATCAATGAAATATCAATTTTATTTTACTGTAGTTTGGATTAGGTTTGACTTTCAACTCTGAAAAACAAACAAATAACCAAAAAGCTGCTATAAAGTCACAGACCATCTTCAATAGGCCTGTGTTACATCACTACACCAAGCAGCACTGTGACTGTGAGAACAGAGTTCAGGAAGCATGAAATAAAGACCTATGTCAGGGAACAAGTTGAAGTGTAGAGATGTGTCTTCCAAATTTGGAAAATATGGAAGTTCTGTATTTATTCTTCTTTGAGCCGACAGATACTTTTGAGAAATCAGATCATTTACAGCATTCACAACTTTTTTTTTCATGTTTAGAACCCCTATATATATTATTAGGTGTGATCTAATGACAAATGGAAAAGACAAATTACACTGAAAAGATGATTGAAGATATGCAAAGGTAAATTGCCCTTAGTGAGTATGTATGGGGGAAAGGGGGAAGTTAAAAATTCCCCTATAAAAAATAATTTTTAAAACATTTAAAAAATGTTTACTAGATTCCTACTGTGTGTAAAACACTGGAGGAATGGCAATAGCAAGGTCCTTCAGTGGAGTGGCTTCCCATCTGGTTGAAGTTACAATATAGGCACACATAAAATACTAACTACCTCAATCATATGCAAAGGAACAAGAACAAGGAAGAGAGATCAGTGTGGACTTTGATTCTTAAATTGACCCTTATGAAAACACTAGTTTCTTCAAAACAGTAGATAGCAAGGAAAAGGAGGAAATTCCAGTCAAGAACTGGAATGGTGCTTAGTGATTTATCCAAATCACTCACTAATGAGTGAATTGGTGAGAGCACTTGGTCCATGGATTGATCAAATCCAATTTTTATGTGCGTATAAAGAATTTATATAACACAGTCCAGTCTAACGCAATTGAGAGCCTCATAAATCAGTGTGACTATAAAGTCAAAAGACAGGTGACCCCTCACCCCTGACACAACGAGTGGGTAAGTAACTATCTGGGAGAAATATTTACAACAAAGTTTTAATATCCACAATCATATCATCTCAATTGTAAAAGAGATCTTTAAAAAAAAATTGGTAAGACAAAGAGAAACCAACAGAAAATTAGGCAATGGTGGTAAGTAGGCAACTCACAAAAGAAGATAAAGTGGCTGATAAACACATGAAAAGATTTTCAACCTCGCTACTACCCGGGAAGTGCAAATCAAAACAGCAATGGAATACCATTTGCTCAACTGATGTACAAAAATGGAAAAGATTCAGCAAAACTGTGGGGGAACTGGAAGCCTCATAACATTAGTAAATATAAAACTTTGTATGGACTTTGAAAAAATACATATTTGTACAGAGGGAAATCTATAGCAACTATGAAAAGGTAAAATTTTCATACAATACACTTTGAAATTCCACTTTTAGGAATTAATTCCTCAAAATCACTTAGTTATGCACAAAGATAGATGTATCAGAATGTTTATTGCAGGGTTGTTTGTAATAATGAAAAAATTAGAAACTGTCTAAATATCCATCAATAAATAATGTAATGATCAAGTAAATAATTAAATAGATTCTAGTATACTCACATTATGGAATACTGTCCAGCAATTGCAACAGAAAGAAGTAGATCTGTCTGTACTAGCATAAAATGATTTTGCAAGGCACGATGAGTGAAAAAAAATGTCACTGGTTAATGCATAAATTTATGTAAATAATTTATATGAAATATATATAGTCTAAAACTGTTAATAGTTTACTCTGCAAAGGAAAGAGAGATGGGAGGGTTATGGGCGGCAGGCAACGAGGGAGGTTGCTACTTAACCTCAAGAATAATTAACCTGCCAAAACCAGTTTGGCTCAGCGGTAGAGCGTCGGCTTGCGGACTGAAGGGTCCCAGGTTCGATTCCAGTCAAGGGCATGTACCTTGGTTGCGGGCGCATCCCCGGTGCGGGGTGTGCAGGAGGCAGCTGGTTGATGTTTCTCTCTTATCGATGTTTCTGGCTTTCTATCCCTCTCCCTTCCTCTCTGTAAAAAATCAATAGAATATATATATATATATATTTTTTTTTTAAATATATTTTATTGATTTTTCACAGAGAGGAAGAGAGAGGGATAGAGAGTTAGAAATGTCGATGAGAGAGAATAATCGACCAGCTGCCTCTTGCACACCCCCCAATGGGGATGTGCCCGCAACCAAGGCACACGCCCTTGACTGGAATCGAACCCAGGACCTTTCTGTCCGCAGGCCGACGCTCTATCCACTGAGCCAAACCGGTGCCGGCAGAATATATATATATATATATATATATATATATATATATATATATATATATTTTAAAGAATAATTAACCTATCAGCATTGCTATTTTTTAAAAATTTAAATCATTGCCCAAGGATATATTTTTATTGACTTTAGAGAAAGAAAGGAAGAAACATCGATTGGCTGCCTCCTGTATGTGCCCTGACGAAGGATCAAACCTGCAACCTAGGTATGTGCCCTGACTGGGAATTGAACCCACAACCTTTTGGTGTACGGGACGATGCTCCAACCAACTGAGTCACCAAACCAGGGCACCAGCATTACTATTCTCAAGCTGGATGTTCAAGCTGGATTCAGAAAAGGAAAAGGCACTCGAGATCTAATTGTGAACATTCATTGGGTATTAGAGAGTTCCAAAGAATTTCAGAAAAAGAGCCCTTGCTGATTTGACACACACACACACACACACACACACACACACACACACACACACACACATATCCCTTACTTTGGAAAAAATAATTTCAGAAAAAGGTTAGTCTATATAGGTTAGTCTATGTTTTACATAATTTAGTAAAGCCTTAGACTATCCAGATTAGGAAAAGCTGTGGGTTGCTCTGCATTAAATGGGCATGCCTCAACACTTGATTGTCCTGATGTGTAACAGTACAGGGGATAGAAAGCCACTGTCAGGACAAAATAGAGAGAGACAATGGTTTCGTATAGGCTAGAGGTGTCAGGCAAAGGGGCATTTTACCTCCCTATTTCTTTAATCTGTGCACAGAACATGACATATGAAAAAAAACTGGGCTAGATTCAGAGGAAGGATGCTTGAAAATTGGTAGAAGAAATATTAATAACTTAAGATATGCTTCTTATTGCTGAGAAGTAGGAATGATTTTAAATGACTTCTAAGGAAAGTGAAAGAAGAAAGTGTCAAAGCAGGAGTGTATTTGAACATCAAGAAGACAACAATGACTACAGAAGAAATGCACACCTTAAACATAGACAGTAGAAACACTGAAATTGGTAACTACTTTGCTTTTCTTGGTTCAGTCATCAAGTCAAATTGAAACACAGCAAAACAAAACAAAACAAAACAAAACAAAAACAAAAACAAAAAACAAGGGAAGGTTGAGACGCAGAAGGGCAACAATTGAAGAACTAGGAAAAGATTATCAAGAGCAAAGATGTCTCATTAGAAACCAAGGTTAAGATCACCCACACCCTTGAATTCCCAATTACTAAGTACAGATGAGAAAGCTGAGCAGTGAAGAAGGCTGACAGGGAAAAAAAGAGATTCATTTGAAATATGGACTTGGAGGAGAGCTCTGGACCATCAGAAAGATGGGTCCTAGAGCAAATTAAGTCTGAAACATCGCTGGAGGCAAAAACAATAAGATTGGAGCTGTTCTGTCTCGGGTACATCAGGAGAAGGTAGGATTCTTTGGGAAACACGATACTGGGAAAAATAGAAGACGTCAGGAAAAGAGGAAGAGCATATATGAGATGGATTGACTTCAATACAGAAGTCAGCCGAAACCAGTTTGGCTTAGTGATAGAGCGTTAGTCTGCGGACTGAAGGGTCCCAGGTTTGATTCCGGTCAAGGACATGTACATTGGTTGCGGGCACATCCCCGGTAGGGGGTGTGCAAGAGGCAGCTGGTCGATGATTCTCTCTCATCAACATTTCTAACTCTCTCTCCCTCTCCCTTCCTCTCTGTAAAAAAATCAATAAAATATATTAAAAAAAATACAGAAGTCATAGGCATGCATCGACAGGAGCTGATCAGGGCTGTTGAAGATAGGTTTTGTGCACATCACTCATTCAGTGTCACCAGGAGTTGGAACTGACTAAACAGCAGGTAACATACATATTCTTCAGCATTTTGCAATTCTATGCACAAAGTAGCCTACTTTCACAAATGTCTATTACCATGGAAGGTGGCATTCATGGAATTTATTGGTCTGAAAAGAATCAAA